ATGACCACACATAATCTGAGGGGACCCCTCCATTATTGACCCCATCAAACAAAATGGGGGCGCTAGAGAGCTCATTTCTTATCTAGGCCTAACCGCCATATGGATTTTTACTAAACTTGGTAGATATGTAGAACAGGACGCCTCAAGGTGACTGGAGAAATTTAACTCTAATTGGCAACTGGGTGGCGCTATAACAACAGAAAAATGCTTCAAAATGGCTAAAATGCGACCGATCGCTGTGGCTCCCCCTGTGGACCAATGTTGGTGTAAACACTTTAACTATCTGCCTTTCAACGTGCTGCCTCAACTACTAATGTACAGTTTTAGCCCACTAACTATCCCACTATTGGCAATGGTACTACTGTACTTTCAATAAAGCAATCGTACTATCAGATTCACACTCAAACTGTACGTGGGCAACTGTGCACTCAATGGGTGTGGACTAGTTCATTTGTAATTTAAAAACAAGCAACCAAAATTCAACTGTTTTCCCATTTTAAACCAAAAACGAAAAACAAGGAAACAGACATTTTTCCTTTTTTTCTTACAGAATAAAAAGAAAAGACAAAAACCAGTCCAAGCAGTCCATGTTTGGTTTATGGTAATTCTTTTTCCATTTTGGTTTGGCGATTAAAAAAAATGGAAGTCACGTTTTCCGTCTGTTTGTTTGTTGTTGCCACATGAAAAATTAATAATCCAGACACTGTTAATTGGCTCCCTTTATTATTAGTACACCATTTGGGTCAGACAGACGTCATCAGTCATTAACTATTCGCCCAGTCTTTACTTCAGGTCTGGTGTTACTTTAAAGTGTTTTATGTGACATATTCAGAGGAGTTTTGTCATCATCCAGCTGAATAACAAAATGCAGCCTAATGATACGTACAAGTATCATCGAGTGGATTCTCTGGCAGAAGAGAGACCCAAAGATAAATAAAGTCAACATTTGACTTAAAAAAACAAACAAGGCCTTCTGTATCAAAGTAAAGACTGTCTGTCTTCTCTTAACTGAAACTATTTCTCAGTCCCCAACTAGTCCTAGGTGCTTCAATAGATCCGTTATCCCCTCGGAGATTTTAAAGCTCAACTTGAACAACTTCCATCGACTGTAACTCACGAGGCAAGAAAGGAACAACCAGCACAGTGTACAGGTTGACTTACGAACACAGAGAAAAACAGCCTGTGCCTGATTTTTTAATATTCTGTAATCAAACTGTACTTATTGAAATATACAGGTTAACAAAGCTGAAAATAATAAATTACCATACCTTCAGGTCAAGTTGCTCCAAGATATAGACTGCGCCATGGCTACAAGTAAAAATGAAAGTGAACAACCGCTTCAGAAAATATGAAGAGAGAGAGATGGGGGTGGGGAGAAGGGTGGAAAGCCTCAGAGGGTTTCTTGAGGTCAAAGTACATGTAGTAAAGTTATGCAGAGTAATGAGCAGGTGAAGTGTCTGTCTGAGTGACTTTGTGTCAGAGACAAATCTCTTTAGGCTCGGTGCAAGGCCATCTAAATGTGTATATTTTGGAAATGTAAAAACCATTCTAAAATATAGCAGCAAGCAGCATTTCCAGGGTTCACGCCAGCATGGACCTTTAAAAGCTGAAGATGTGTGAGATCAAGACCTTTGACAGTTTAGGACACCTGCATTAAACATGCTTTAATGGCTTAGTCTGAGTTTGTTGATGTTTGAATAAAACCGTCATTGATTACAGCCAGATTTTGAGACAGACCATTGCACTTGTTTGGGACTTGTGGCGCCCCCTATTGGCCGATTCTAAAATAATTTGACATACATGGTTTGTCATCTCATCTTACTACATAATGACGAAAACTCTGTGTGTCTGTTCCACGTTTTTCTCCTCAATGACTTGGTCTCTTTTTGGTCATTTAGTGTCTCCTTGTGGTCATTTAGTGTCCCCTTGTGGTCATTTAGTGTCTCCTTGTGGTCATTTTGGGTCTCTTTGGGGTCATTTAGTGTCCCCTTGTGGTCATTTAGTGTCTCCTTTTGGTCATTTAGTGTCTCCTTGTGGTCATTTAGTGTCCCCTTGTGGTCATTTAGTGTCTCCTTGTGGTCATTTTGGGTCTCTTTGGGGTCATTTAGTGTCCCCTTGTGGTCATTTAGTGTCCCCTTGTGGTCATTTAGTGTCTCCTTGTGGTCATTTTGGGTCTCTTTGGGGTCATTTAGTGTCCCCTTGTGGTCATTTAGTGTCTCCTTGTGGTCATTTAGTGTCCCCTTGTGGTCATTTAGTGTCTCCTTGTGGTCATTTAGTGTCCCCTTGTGGTCATTTAGTGTCCCCTTGTGGTCATTTAGTGTCTCCTTGTGGTCATTTAGTGTCCCCTTGTGGTCATTTAGTGTCTCCTTGTGGTCATTTAGTGTCTCCTTGTGGTCATTTAGTGTCCCCTTGTGGTCATTTAGTGTCTCCTTGTGGTCATTTAGTGTCCCCTTGTGGTCATTTAGTGTCCCCTTGTGGTCATTTAGTGTCTCCTTGTGGTCATTTAGTGTCCCCTTGTGGTCATTTAGTGTCTCCTTGTGGTCATTTAGTGTCCCCTTGTGGTCATTTAGTGTCTCCTTGTGGTCATTTAGTGTCCCCTTGTGGTCATTTAGTGTCTCCTTGTGGTCATTTAGTGTCCCCTTGTGGTCATTTAGTGTCTCCTTGTGGTCATTTAGTGTCCCCTTGTGGTCATTTAGTGTCTCCTTGTGGTCATTTAGTGTCCCCTTGTGGTCATTTAGTGTCTCCTTGTGGTCATTTAGTGTCCCCTTGTGGTCATTTAGTGTCTCCTTGTGGTCATTTAGTGTCCCCTTGTGGTCATTTAGTGTCTCCTTGTGGTCATTTAGTGTCCCCTTGTGGTCATTTAGTGTCTCCTTGTGGTCATTTAGTGTCCCCTTGTGGTCATTTAGTGTCTCCTTGTGGTCATTTAGTGTCCCCTTGTGGTCATTTAGTGTCTCCTTGTGGTCATTTAGTGTCCCCTTGTGGTCATTTAGTGTCTCCTTGTGGTCATTTAGTGTCCCCTTGTGGTCATTTAGTGTCTCCTTGTGGTCATTTAGTGTCCCCTTGTGGTCATTTAGTGTCTCCTTGTGGTCATTTTGGGTCTCTTTGGGGTCATTTAGTGTCCCCTTGTGGTCATTTAGTGTCCCCTTGTGGTCATTTAGTGTCTCCTTGTGGTCATTTTGGGTCTCTTTGGGGTCATTTAGTGTCCCCTTGTGGTCATTTAGTGTCTCCTTGTGGTCATTTTGGGTCTCTTTGGGGTCATTTAGTGTCCCCTTGTGGTCATTTAGTGTCCCCTTGTGGTCATTTAGTGTCTCCTTGTGGTCATTTAGTGTCCCCTTGTGGTCATTTAGTGTCTCCTTGTGGTCATTTAGTGTCCCCTTGTGGTCATTTAGTGTCTCCTTGTGGTCATTTAGTGTCCCCTTGTGGTCATTTAGTGTCTCCTTGTGGTCATTTAGTGTCCCCTTGTGGTCATTTAGTGTCTCCTTGTGGTCATTTAGTGTCCCCTTGTGGTCATTTAGTGTCTCCTTGTGGTCATTTAGTGTCCCCTTGTGGTCATTTAGTGTCTCCTTGTGGTCATTTAGTGTCCCCTTGTGGTCATTTAGTGTCTCCTTGTGGTCATTTAGTGTCCCCTTGTGGTCATTTAGTGTCTCCTTGTGGTCATTTAGTGTCCCCTTGTGGTCATTTAGTGTCCCCTTGTGGTCATTTAGTGTCTCCTTGTGGTCATTTTGGGTCTCTTTTTGGTCATTTAGTGTCTCCTTGTGGTCATTTAGTGTCCCCTTGTGGTCATTTAGTGTCCCCTTGTGGTCATTTAGTGTCTCCTTGTGGTCATTTTGGGTCTCTTTGGGGTCATTTAGTGTCTCCTTGTGGTCATTTAGTGTCTCCTTGTGGTCATTTAGTGTCCCCTTGTGGTCATTTAGTGTCTCCTTGTGGTCATTTAGTGTCCCCTTGTGGTCATTTAGTGTCTCCTTGTGGTCATTTAGTGTCCCCTTGTGGTCATTTAGTGTCTCCTTGTGGTCATTTAGTGTCTCCTTGTGGTCATTTAGTGTCCCCTTGTGGTCATTTAGTGTCTCCTTGGGGTCATTTAGTGTCCCCTTGTGGTCATTTAGTGTCCCCTTGTGGTCATTTAGTGTCTCCTTGTGGTCATTTAGTGTCCCCTTGTGGTCATTTAGTGTCTCCTTGTGGTCATTTAGTGTCCCCTTGTGGTCATTTAGTGTCTCCTTGTGGTCATTTAGTGTCTCCTTGTGGTCATTTAGTGTCCCCTTGTGGTCATTTAGTGTCTCCTTGTGGTCATTTTGGGTCTCTTTGGGGTCATTTAGTGTCCCCTTGTGGTCATTTAGTGTCTCCTTGGGGTCATTTAGTGTCTCCTTGTGGTCATTTAGTGTCCCCTTGTGGTCATTTAGTGTCTCCTTGTGGTCATTTAGTGTCCCCTTGTGGTCATTTAGTGTCTCCTTGTGGTCATTTAGTGTCCCCTTGTGGTCATTTAGTGTCTCCTTGTGGTCATTTAGTGTCTCCTTGTGGTCATTTAGTGTCCCCTTGTGGTCATTTAGTGTCTCCTTGTGGTCATTTAGTGTCTCCTTGTGGTCATTTAGTGTCCCCTTGTGGTCATTTAGTGTCTCCTTGTGGTCATTTAGTGTCCCCTTGTGGTCATTTAGTGTCCCCTTGTGGTCATTTAGTGTCTCCTTGTGGTCATTTAGTGTCCCCTTGTGGTCATTTAGTGTCTCCTTGTGGTCATTTAGTGTCCCCTTGTGGTCATTTAGTGTCCCCTTGTGGTCATTTAGTGTCTCCTTGTGGTCATTTAGTGTCCCCTTGTGGTCATTTAGTGTCTCCTTGTGGTCATTTAGTGTCCCCTTGTGGTCATTTAGTGTCCCCTTGTGGTCATTTAGTGTCTCCTTGTGGTCATTTTGGGTCTCTTTGTGGTCATTTAGTGTCTCCTTGTGGTCATTTAGTGTCCCCTTGTGGTCATTTAGTGTCTCCTTGTGGTCATTTAGTGTCCCCTTGTGGTCATTTAGTGTCTCCTTGTGGTCATTTAGTGTCCCCTTGTGGTCATTTAGTGTCTCCTTGTGGTCATTTAGTGTCCCCTTGTGGTCATTTAGTGTCTCCTTGTGGTCATTTAGTGTCCCCTTGTGGTCATTTAGTGTCTCCTTGTGGTCATTTAGTGTCCCCTTGTGGTCATTTAGTGTCTCCTTGTGGTCATTTAGTGTCCCCTTGTGGTCATTTAGTGTCTCCTTGTGGTCATTTTGGGTCTCTTTGGGGTCATTTAGTGTCTCCTTGTGGTCATTTAGTGTCCCCTTGTGGTCATTTAGTGTCTCCTTGTGGTCATTTTGGGTCTCTTTGGGGTCATTTAGTGTCCCCTTGTGGTCATTTAGTGTCCCCTTGTGGTCATTTAGTGTCTCCTTGTGGTCATTTAGTGTCCCCTTGTGGTCATTTAGTGTCCCCTTGTGGTCATTTAGTGTCTCCTTGTGGTCATTTTGGGTCTCTTTGTGGTCATTTAGTGTCCCCTTGTGGTCATTTAGTGTCCCCTTGTGGTCATTTAGTGTCTCCTTGTGGTCATTTTGGGTCTCTTTGGGGTCATTTAGTGTCCCCTTGTGGTCATTTAGTGTCTCCTTGTGGTCATTTAGTGTCTCCTTGGGGTCATTTAGTGTCTCCTTGTGGTCATTTTGGGTCTCTTTGGGGTCATTTAGTGTCTCCTTGTGGTCATTTAGTGTCTCCTTGGGGTCATTTAGTGTCCCCTTGTGGTCATTTTGGGTCTCTTTGGGATCATTTAGTGTCTCCTTGTGGTCATTTAGTGTCCCCTTGTGGTCATTTAGTGTCTCCTTGTGGTCATTTTGGGTCTCTTTGGGGTCATTTAGTGTCTCCTTGTGGTCATTTTGGGTCTCTTTGGGGTCATTTTGGGTCTCTTTGGGGTCATTTAGTGTCCCCTTGTGGTCATTTAGTGTCTCCTTGTGGTCATTTAGTGTCTCCTTGTGGTCATTTTGGGTCTCTTTGGGGTCATTTAGTGTCTCTTTATGGTCATTTTGCATCTCATTGTCAGTTTGTGTTTCTCTTTTTGGTCATTTTGTGTCTCCTTGTGGTCATTTAGTGTCTCCTTCTCGTCATTTTTAGGTCTCTGAGACCATTATGTCTCTTTTGAGTCATTTTGCAGTCATTTTGCATCTAGTTGTTGTCAGTTTGTTTCTCTTTGGGGTCATTTAGTGTCTCGTTGTGGTCATTTCTGGGTCTCTGGGATCATTTTGTCTCTTTTGGGTCATTTTGTTTCTCTTTATGGTCATTTTGCATCTCATTGTCAGTTTGTGTTTCTCTTTTTGGTCATTTTGTGTCTCCTTGTGGTCATTGTTGGATCTCTGGGGCTGTTTTGTCTCTTTGGGGCCATTTTGCATCTCATTATCAGTTTGTGTTTCTCTTTTTGGTCATTTTGTGTGTCCTTGAGGTCATTGTTGGGTCTCTGGGACCATTTTGTCTCCTTGTGGTCATTTTGTGTCTCCTTGTGGTCATACCTCTGGGGTCATTTTATGCCTCTGGGGTCATTTTATACCTCTGGGGTCATTTTATGCCTCTGGGGTCCTTGTGGGTCTCTTTCGGGTCATTTTGCATCTCATTGTCATTTTGTGTCTCCTTGTGTCACTCGGTGTGTTTCCTGCTGCTACAATAAACACTCACAGCTGTTTAGTGACGTAGAACTTTAACATGTTTTCAAGGTTCATTAACAGAACAACATTTTTCATCATCAGTTACCCTGCTGTTATTGATCTGACTTATTAATTATTGATTACTGCGACAGAAATGTTAGAAAATGTCCATCAAACTTTACCCAACCAAAGGTGACGTCTTTCAGTCCGAAACAACAAAATGTTACATTTGGGATTATTATATAGTAAAAGAGGAAAGCGATGTTCAGACAGAGATCAACTTTGCTGTGGCGCTGTCACAGTTTGGAGCCCACGCCGCCGCCTGCCGCCTCCTTCAGTGTTTCTTTCAGCCATGAAATCAAGATGCTGTTTGTCTCCGCCGGCTTGTCCATCTGAATCCAGTGTCCACACTCCTCTATGTGTCCTCGTCTCAGGTTCGGGATCTGCGGTTCACAAACGGAAACAGCGCATTCATTTCCAATAATCTATAATCACACTGTCTGTCATTGAGGAGGACTGATTGATTGATTGATGGTTTGTTTTCCTCACCAAGTCCTCCATCCCTTTGGACAAGGCCGGCAGCAGCACCGGGTCTTTACCTGCCGTCACCATCAGGGTGGGCGTCAGCACCTAACACACACACACACACACACACACACACACAAAGAAAGTCTCTCACATCTGATCCCAGGGTCAACAGGGTCAACAGGGTCAACCACACCTGCAGCTACAACTCCTCACTAAAAGTGTCTAGGCTGAGTTAGGAGCTCTCTGAGAGTGTCCTCAGGACGTTTGTGTCCCAGATCTCCTTCACATGACACCACAGCAGTTTCCACTTGATGGAAACACAAAAGACTGGACTCCTGTCTGAGAGCAGCTGCTTTTAATCTGGTAAACGAAGGTGGAAGCCAATCAGCCTCCAGCTGCTGCAGGAACACAGGACAGAAGACACAGCAGCCTGAAGGTGAGTCTGATCCACACGGACACTCTTTAACCAACAGGTACAGGACAGTGACAGAAACGTTTGTGTTAAAGTGTTTCACAGAGCAGCTGTGGTTTCTATGTAGGCAGCTCCGCCCCCCTGTGCTCGGTAACAAACCTTTTTATTGGGACGAGAACACATCCACCTCCAGGTTGCGTCCCCGTTTCGATACCAGTTCAGTGGTCCCCTGTGAACCATTAATGACTCACATTAATGTGCTGCTATATTTGTGATCATCCTTTAAAGTCATATTTATTCAGTATGTCATAAAAAAGTGTAACTACATACATGTTCTTAAAAACTGTGCTTAAGTACAAATTTAAGGTGCTTATACTTCATCATGCCCACGATTGTGATGTTATGTGATAAAATTTAAGTTTTGAGCCACGACTCCTTCTATTCTGGCTCACACTAACACAACAAGACCACTTTTTATATTAATAAAATGTTCAAAAAATTATTATTAATAAAATGTAATAAAAATATTTTTAATATGTCTGACAAATATTAATATATTGTTAAAAATGTTAAAAAACATGTTAAAAAATGTCTTAGAAATACTGTTAAATATCTGAAAACATATTAATAAAATGTCCTAAAAATATTAATAACATGTCCCTAAAAGATATTAATAAAATGTCCCTAAAAGATATAAATAAAATTTCCCTAAAAATATTAATAAAATGTCCTAAAAGATATTAATAAAATGTCCCTAAAAGATATAAATAAAATTTCCCTAAAAATATTAATAAAATGCCCTAAAAATATTAATAAAATGTCCCAAAAATATTAATAAAATGCCCTAAAAAATATTAATAAAATTTCCCTAAAAATATTAATAAAATGTCCGACAAATATTAATATAATGTCCCAAAAAATATTAATATATTGTCTGAAAAATATTAATAAAATGCCGAACAAATATTAATATTTTGTCCTAAAAAATATTAATAAAATGTCCGACAAATACTATTAATTATGACCAAAAACATAATAATAAAATGTCAAAAAAAAACCCTAATAAAATCACTAAAAAAATGTATGAAATGTCCGAAAAATACTTAAAGATGTCCAACAAATATTAATATATTGTCCGAAAAAATAGTAATAAGATGTCCAACAAATATTAATATATTGTCCGAAGAAATAGTAATAAAATGTCTGACAAATATCCGAAAAATATTAATAAAATGTCCTAAAAATATTAATAAATGACCAAAAACATAGTAATAAAATGGCTGAAAAAATATTAATAATGTCTGACAAATATTAGTATATTGTTAAAAATGTTTTTGTTTGAAATGATAAAAAATAAAATTTAAAAATGTAAACATGTTTTAATCAATGCATCTATGTCTGCAGCTCTGGTTGTAGTTCCTGCTAATGTCCACCAGAGGGCGCAGGTGTGAGTTCAGGTGTGGGTGAATGCTGTCTGATGTGTTAACGTGCGCCACCTGAAGCCTCGCTCCTTGTACTGGCTGACGTAGAACTGCAGGTCGGCCTCCGTCAGCATGGAGCTGCGGGAGATCTGCTCCGGCAGGCCCACTAACAGACCACCTGCAACAGCACACGCACACACACACACACACACACACACACACACTTTTAAAGCCTGTTAGAAACCTGTGTGTGTGTGTGTGTGCGTGTGTGTGAGTGAACAGTTTCAGGTTTGGTTTGAGTCTCACCTCGAGCACAGACTCCTGCAGTGCTGAGAGCAGGACGCTGCGCCTGAGAGGAAAATAATTATTTATTCATTAATATGTCTGACACACTTGACATGCTGTGTGTGTGTGTGTGTGTGTGTGTGTGTGTGTGTGTTGTCACCTCCTCAACACTGCGGAAGAAGAAAATCTTGAACGTTCTCTCTAAGTCTTTCTCCAGCTCTGCCTCTGCTACACCCTGCAATAATAATATAATAAATAATAATAAATAAAATTAATAAATAAATGCAAGGGTTTTCGTATTTAAAATAAACATGTTAAGAATAACACAAATAGATTGAATATTGATTTTTTTTTTTATTTAAATCCATTAAATAAAACAAAGGGTCAGTAGACTAGATAAATCCATTTAAATTAAAATTATAAATTTAGAGGAACAAACTGTAAGCATGTTTTAATCTGTGCATGTGTGTCTGCAGCTCTGGTTGTAGTTCCTGCTAATGTCCACCAGAGGGCGCCATTACAACAGAAAGCAGCAGCTGGCAGGTAAAAACCAGGGGTGGAAGAAGCATTCAGATCGTTTACTGCAGTAAAAGTACTAATACTACACTGTGAAAATCCTCCCCTACAAGTAAAAGTCCTGCATTCAAAACCTCACTGTGGGAAAAGTATCTTAATGGACTTGACGCAAAAGTGACGTTTTTGGAGTAATATTTCTGCTGCATTAAAGGGTGTGTTTGGTATTTTTCAACCTGGACCCCATTTTAAAAAATACCATAGATCCCCTTTAATGTGTCATTTTACTGCTGTAGATGTTTCAGGTTGTGCTCATTTGAACTCGTTCAAATACTGTTGGGTAGTTTCATCCACAGCGATGTTTATAAAGGTGCGAACACACCAAACCGACATCAAAGAACTAGCGGCGACGAAAGCCAACTGTTGCGTCGTCTACGTCGCCTCACGTCGCCCTGTGTCAGTTGCATTTGAACACACTACACGGACTACATCCGACGGCCAAGTAGCACGTACGTTCTGCGCCTGCGTGAGAGAGAGCGGAGAGAGAGAGTGGTACATCCTGTCAGCCGAGGGGTTTCCTATCTGTGCAGCCGAGCACCGCAGCACCTCCACGGACTATTACATCCAGACGGTCCCGGTGTTTCCTCCTCAGGCTCCACTTCACTCAGCTGCCCGATAAACCCGCTGCTTCTTCCCACTTTAACCTGAATAACAAACCAGGGCTCGGTGCTCCGGTTGGATCCAAACGGAGAGCCGGGGCTAGCTCAGAGACTAGCGGAGGCTAACTGGCTGTGCTTCCCTCCGGTCATGCTGCGGCTAACGCTCCGCTAGCCGCTCCCAGCTAGCTCCGGTTTGTTATTCAGGTTAAAGTGTGAAGAAGCAGCGGGTCTGTGGGGCAGCTGAGTGAAGTGGAGCCTGAGGTGGAAGCACCGGTTAGCCCCGGTTTCACTACAGGCAGATTCACTCGCTACAGGGGCGAGGAAATAAAACCTGAACAGCCAATCAGAGTGATCTCTCTCACCGACAAGCTCCGCTGCTGATTCAACATCAATCGGCCAAAAAGCCGCCGACGCCGAAGTGCCGACAGTGCGGGATTGCCTGACTTTGGTCGACGGACGACCGTTGGCTTGGTGTGTCAGGGCTTTAAGATCATATGTGTTGAAGCGTGGCTGTCCTGTGACACTTTTCCAGCTGATCCAAGAGGGTTTTTAGAGAGTTTATTTGGTTTAACAGGGAAGGGAATTTCCTCCACACATAAAGGAACACTTCATCCTTCAGTTTATCACAAACATTTCACAGCAACACATCTGAATATTTTCACTGAATCTAAAATCTCGTCTGTATTAGCATGGTATCGTGCTGCAGACTTACTCACCACTTTCTGGAAGTAGAGCTGGTAGTCAAATATGGGAATGGACTTCGCTTTCTCTGAAAAACTCTCAGAAGGATCCACAGGGAACAAAGGAGTGTTCAGGGACGCCACCGCTCTTCACGCAAAAGAAGATGTTTTACGACACTGTGAAGTATCTTGGAAGTGTGTCTCTTAATCTGTGTGTGTTTACCTGATTCTCTCAGGGTAAAACATAGCCATGTTCCACACCAGGGCACCACCCCAGTCATGACCCACCAGGGTGACCTGTGGTATCAACTGGGAAAGGCAACGTGGGCAGCAAAAAAATGTTAGATAATCAACTGAATGTGCAGCAATTTGCTCCAGAGCTTGCAACATTAAACCCCCTGACAGGTGAAGTGAATAACCTTGATCATGTCTTGACAATGCAAAGCTCTGCTAGAAAACCTTGGATCCAGCATTCATGTGGATGCCACTTGACACGCCACCCATCTGGACACCATTACAGACCAAGTACCCCCCCAGTGGTAGTGGTTCCTCCAGCAGGACAATGTGCCATTCCACACCACAAAAAACTACCAGGATTGACCCGAGGAACTTGACAAAGAGCTTAAGGCATTTACCTGGCCTCTACATTGCCCAGATCCCAGTCTGATTGAGCATCTGTGGGATGTGCTGGTACCCCACCTCGCTAAGCAAAGGAGAACACCCCCAGAGGTCCTGTGGTCGTATCTTAGCAGGTAAGAGCCAAGTCCTATCAACAGTGGAGCCTCTGGGTTGCGATGTGGGGTACTGGCATCTTGTTCAGATCAGAGTTCACACCATGGATCGGACTTGACTCTGTTCTGTTGAGGCAAAGACACAGCACCTCTTGGGGTGTCCTGTGGTGTTTGGCACAAGACATTGGCGGCAGGTTCTTTCAGTCCTGCGGGTTGCAAGGTGCGGTACTGGCACACCCAATGGATGCTCAATCAAATCAGAGGCCCCACTGTGGATCTGACCTGGCCCTGACCTGTCAAGGCATGGACACAGGACCTCAGGGGGTATCCTGTGATGTCTGGCATGGGGGCATTGGCGGGGGATCCTTTCAGTCCTATGGATTGCAAGCTAGGGTACCAGCATGTCCCTCAGGTGCTTGATCAGATCAGAGGCCCCACTGTGGATCTGACCTGGCCCTGACCTGTCAAGACATGGACACAGGACCTATGGAGGTGTCCTATGAGATTGTGCACAAGGCACTACTAGCAGATCCTTTAAGTCCCGTGAGTTGAAGAAAGGTACCGGCATGTCCCGTGGATGCTCCATCAGATCAGACGCCCCCCTGTAGATCTGACTCCGCTCTGACCTGTCAAGGCATGGACACAGGACCTGTGGGGGTGTCCTGCAGTGTCTGGCAACAGGGAATTGGCAGCAGATTTTTTTTAGTCCTATGGGTTGCGAGATAAGGTACCAGATTGGGATCTTGGGAATTTGGAGGCCAAGTTGATTCCTTTAGTTCTTTGCCATGTTTCTCAGGTCATTAAGGTGACAGCGCCATCAGGTCTGAGCAGTTTTTGTGGTGTGGCACGACGCACTGTCCTGCTCCCACTGCCACTGGGCAGTGCTTTTGCCATGAAGGGATGTACTGGATCTGCAACAATGTTTGGGTGGGTGATTTCTCAGGAGAACGTTGCTTTGTAAAGAGACGACCAATGTTTTTCACTTTACTGGTCAGTGGTTTTGGCTTATTGGTGTATCAATACCTGCATCCTCATTAAATTTAACATGATTGTATGTCATGTGTTCATCACTCACCATTTTGTCCAAAAACGTGATTAAATCCTGAAAAGAGAGAAAAACATGTTTTATGGCATTTAATATTGTTCTACTTGGTCCATCTACCCAGAATGTGACTAAAAGTACCTGACAATATGGAGCACTGACTTTGATTAATTTACACATTAATAAGGATCCCACTACTTTTCTTGCCAAGTCTTGCCCTACGAAATCCCCGACTACACAGGTAAAAGTCCACAGCTACACATCCAGAGATATGGGGACACTGGCGGAAAGCAGGCAGATGACTGTGGGCACAAATCTCGCCGACCTCACGTCCTCCCTCTGGTTCTCTCCCAGAGAGAATCTGTCCAATCCAATCAATCCAGCGTCCTCTAAAACCTCTAAATCCACTTAAAATGAATCAAAATCAGCCCCTGGGAGTTGAAATATGGCTACATCTAGTTTAAACAGCCATTTTGAATCTTGAAAATGTAAAATGGAGAATGGATTCAGCGTCCTAGGTAATCCCTAAAGACCACCTCGATACTGTCCAAATCGGCCAAGCAGTTGCTGAAATATAGTCTGTATGGGTGAGTATGCTAATGAATGCTAATTATGCAAATTTCTCAACATATTCAAGTTAGCATCCGACAGTTTCTCAATGATCGGGACCCATTCTTTACACTTCTAACATAAAACTTTGGGGAATTCAACACTTCCGGATTCACATGCCCGCCGTTTTCTCTGATTTGAGGTATAGTGACACATTAAGGTAAAACCAAGTGTCATTTTTAAGGTACAAAGATCAAATTGAGCTCAAACTGAAGCTTATCAACTTGAGAGGTTTTCTATGTACAAGTGAAGCAAGGATACTAAACACAAAGTGATGAAAAATACTATCGTCTCTATGAGACGATAGTATTTTTTGTTTTGGGGAGATAGCAAGGGAAGGACCTGCTCTACTCTCTATGATTAGCTGATACTCGTTGCCATCATTGGCTGGATTGGTTAGGTTTTGCAAGAGGAGTGAGATTGGTTAAGGTTAGGGTTAGAATGTCACGGTAAGCCAATCAAAGGTAGAGTAAGGTGGTGCCATTCCTTCACTATCCTAGGAGCCGCAACTTTGCTTCGAATATACCTCCAAGAAGCTTTTTTTTGTACGCCTGAAAATATATAGGTTACATATACCATCCAAATGTCATACTTCTATGTGTAATATAAAGCTGGGGGCTTTTACTTTGAAAACTGTTTGGAGTTGCTATTGAGCCAGGTTGCCACGCCCATGCAGGAGACCCATATCACTTTTTCTCTGTTGTTGCGTACCTCTAGTCCCTCAAGAATGCTCTCAAAGATTAATAAGAAGCGTAATAATTGGGTCCCCCAAACTTAAAAAACTCTGGTATACCTTTGAGAGATGGTTTGTCGTACTTTACAATAAAGTATTTTATTTATTCATTGGTAAAACGAAGACAAGCACAATCAACCTCAATGCCTAATGTGTTTCTTTTAATATTTGTCTGATTACGCCATTAAATGAGGTATATGTTGGTGAGTTTGTACCTTGCAGAGCTGCTCCTGAGAATATTCCTCTATGTCTGTCAATGGAAAAAAAAGACAGTTAATAATTTTAAAGTTAATAATATTATTTGTAAATAATCATTAAGGTGTTCTTTGATTGGAAGGCCACCTGGGGGTGCTGTGGACTCTCCGTATCCCTTCATGTCCAGAGCCAGCACCCTGAACCCTGCTGCTGCCAAGGCTGGGATCTACCAGAGAGAGCGTGAACAACGTTCAGGCACAAAGGTAAAACAAACACACCAAAAACTGACACTTCATTTCTACTCCATGACATCTCAGAGGGTAATATCGTACTTTTACTGCACTCCATTTTTCTGACAGCCTTAGTTACTTTATAAATTTAGAGTTTTAGTGTCCTCCCACTCCGGGAATTCCCCTACAGATCCCTGGCAAAGGTCGCTGATTGAACATTACAGAATGGTGAATTTCAAGTAGGTGCACATTGTCACTTGTCTCATCTCAGATCTTCCTTCACTGTTAGCTTTCAGTATCACCAGCACCCTATGACAAGAGTTAAGTCCAGGTAAGATATTATCATGTTACCTGGAACCTCCATGAATACCAGCTCTCAGGGAAGCCATGACACAGCAGGACTGGTGGACCTGATCCCATTTCAACATAGTGAGTCCTCACACCAGGCTGACAAACCAAACACACACTTCATTTAGTCAACCAAAATTCAAAATGTTTTAATCAACAAAAATTCAAAATGTTTCATTTGCCAAAAATTCTAAACATTTAAAATGACGAAAATTTAAAATGTGTTAGTCGACCAAAAAATTAAAACATTTTCGCCAGCTTTTAGTCATTATGTTTTCTGTTTGTTTTTCTGTAAATGAATCGAGTGAGACCATTTCATGTATCAGAAATTAAAGTCAAGGTGACAGGTGAAGGTGGATTCCAGCTGTCATTTCTGCAGGTGTTTGACAGGTTCCAGGGCTGATTTACGAGCACATACTTACTGATCATTTGAAAAGCTTAAACTCTCAAACTTTGAGACCATAAATAACTAATCTAAGGCAACTAAAATTCTTTATAGCATGCGCTGGACTATTTGTCGCGTCAATCAACTACATTTACAATCAACACTGAGCGGACATCAACAATAAAGGTGATGAGATTTCCCGTCAGTGTCACAAGACATTTCAGCCATTTACTAAAGAGATCACAGTGAGAATTCAGCGTTGACACTGATGCAGATTATTACCTTAATGGTGACGTATCCATGAGACACTTCATCAGGGCTGCAGGACGGTGGAGGACTCTCTGCTCCAATAGCCTGAAACACGCACGCTCACATTAGTATAGCACAAAAACAATATGTTCAAAGTGCTTATCGGACAATATAAAACCTAAAGTAGCAACAATAAAACACTGACATTAAAGGTATTACATGAGATAAACAGAGACGACTAAAAACAAAAACAAGGAATACAATTCAGAACAGATGAAAACTTTACCAAAATATTCATCCTTGACTCATAGTGAATGTTTGTGCCAAATTTGAAGAAATTCCCTCATACTGTTTTTGAGATACCGCGCCCACCAGAAGGAGACCAACGCAAGGTCAGTGACCTTGACCTCTGACAACACAGATCTAATCAGTTTGTCCTTAAATCCATTTTGTTTGTGCCAAAGTTCAAAATATTCTATCAAGGTGTTCTTGAAGTATCGCATTCACAAAATGACAGACAAAATCCCAGTGACCTTGACCTTTTACTTTGATTACCAAATTTGAATCAGTTCATCTTTGAGTCGTTGTGAATGTTTGTGCCAAATTTGAAGAAATTCCCTCAAGGTGTTCTTGAGATATTGTGTTCACCCAAATGAGACCAGAATGAGAATTTTGATGGTGAAGGGTCAAAGGTCAGCGTCGCTGTGACCTTGTATCCATTTCATCCTTGCAAATGCAATATCTCAACAACAGCTGGAGGGAATTTCCTCAAATTTGGCACAAACTTTCACTTGAACTCAAGCATGATGTGATTAGATTTTGGTCTTCAAAGGTCAAGGTCACTGTGACCTTGTCTTTTTCTTTCTCGTAGGTGCAATATCTCAATAACGCCTCAAGGGAATTTCTTTAAATTTAACACAACCTTCCACTTGGACTGAAGAATACACTGAGTAGTATTTGTGCTCAAAGGTCAAGGTCAGTGTCAAAATATGTCTCATTCTCTTGAACGCCATATCCCAAGAAGGCCTTAAAGGATTTTTCTAAAATTTGGCCTCAACATCCACTTGGACTCAAGAGTGAAATGATCAGACTCAAACCTTGACAAAGGTCAAGGTCACTGTGACCTCACAAAACATGTTTTTGGCCATCACTCAAGAATTCACACTCTAATTATGACAGAATTTCACACAAATGTCTAACAGGATAAATTAATGTAGTAATGGTATTTTGTATCGAAAAGGTCAAAGGTCAGCTTCGCTGTGACATCATAATGTTCTGTATAAAACACCTGTCCGGCCATTATTCAGAGTCATATCTCAGGAACAGACATTTGTGGCAAATTTGAAAATATTCCCTCAAGATGTTCTTGACAACCCGAAAACTTAATGCGCCAGGTCAGGGCTATTTCCCGGCATAGAGGCGTTTTAAAGAGGTACAGGGACAAAATTGTGTCTTAAAATGAAAGAATGAAACATAAGGTGCGAACAACAAGACGAGGTACAAGTCATTGTCCTGTTACTGTTTATCCTTCCTCTGAAATACAAGTTCAAAGCATTCTGGTCCACACCTGCACTCCAGTAAAGATGGCCAGTTTGTTCAGTGCGTCGTCCAGGTTTTCCACCAAGATGGCCTTCATCCCCACTCCCTCGGCTGCCTTCACACCCTCCTCATCTGCATCCAGCCACACAGCCTGAAATGAGACAGACAGACTCACCATCCTGTACTGACTGTCCTTCTGGGAAGGAAAAGTAAACTGAAAACTTCAGGCTCAGCTCCCTCTTCAGCACGACAGTAGTTATTTACCACATCACTGCAGACGCCGCGCCAAACTGCCGATCCATCTCGCGCTTCATTCTACCCTCACTCATGAACAAAACCCTGAGATACTTGAACTCCTTCACTTGGGGCAGTAACTCACTCCTAACCCATACAAACTTGAGTTGATGTTCAGGTGGCAGGTAGCAAGCCTGTGACGACTTTGTTAACGGGCGCCTGAGCAACACTTAAATGGCAATTATAGTTGTAATATCAGACAAAAGAAGAAAAACATCAATACAACCGTTACTGTGTGTAGATATATTTACAGTCTACCTGCTGTGATGTCACTCCCAGGTGCTGCAGAGCGGAGTTGAACATGGCGGGCTCGGGGACCCTGTGACCCGTGCGACAGGACTGGTGGACCAGATCAAAGTGGCCGCCCAGCTGACACAGAAGGCGGGCTTGACTGTCCCTAGCGGCACTGTCATCTACCCAGTGATTGGCCAGCACGGCTGTCAGTAACCCTGATGGGAGGGAAGATAAAAACTTCAGCCTCGGATATTCTGGTAAGTTTGTTAGACTCAGGGTGCTGTCACACCTGCCCTGTTTGGTTCGGTTCAATCGATCTCAGGTTAGTTTGCCTCCTCTTCATGTGGGCAGGTGTGAACACAGCAATCACACTAAGGTGTGCACCAAAACAACCGGACCGAGACCTTCTTGAAGAGGTGGTCTCGGTCCGGTCACCAGCGAACTCTGGTGCAGTTCGTTTGTGGTGAGAACGTGTTCCGACCTCGATCCAGACCAACTGCAGTCACATGACACATTGTTTGGGTTAAACAAGCATGAGAATGTTTGTCAACTCTAGACAACTCCAGGTCTGAAAGCAACCTAAATTGCTACTAATGCGAGGGCGGTATAAGATGCGATGAGGTCTTTGTGTTTGCATATAAATGACGACAGGAAAAATTTCACATTAAAAAAATGTAGGGATGAACAGCTGTACCACTGTGACGCAGACTGGCAGCTGTCTTCAACACAGCTGGTTGGACGTCCATCATCGCCTCTCTGAGCTCCTCCAACAGGCCGCTGATGGACCAATCAGACGGCAGAGTCAAACCCTTGACCTGTTTTGTCACACACTCCTCCTCAAAGGCCGGGATCATCTACAGACACAGTGATAAAGATAGTGGTAGAGGAACTCATATCAGTCACCGTCAGTTACAGCAGGTACAGCAGTGAAGTGATACAGAAAATCAAAGGGAGGTTATTATGGAAAGAACATGGACTATATATGGCCGGACTATGGAGACCTACGAGGGCCAAGTGTCTGGGGAAAATACCAATTTCAAGAATAAAGCCAAAATAATAAGAACAGAGCTGAAATGTGATTCTGAGAATAAAGTTGAATTATCGATAATGAAATGCACTAACACTAGCAGTTTTAAGTTATTCTCAAAAGTTCGACTTTAATCTTGATTTTTTTTTTACTTCACTCTTAACAGTTGAATTTTATTCTTAACATTTTGACTTTATCATTGAAATGCAAAAAACAAAAAGACAAAAAAATAGGTTTAACACCTGGCACTTAAACTGAATGATTTTATTATCAAAATTTCAACTTTATTCTCTAAATTTCAACTTAATTGTCAAAATTAAATTACAGATTTATTCTCAACATGTAAACTTTATTCTCCACATTTGAACTTTAGTCTCAACATTGGAACTCTTATTATAAACATTTATATTTTATTTTGAAAATTTGAACTTTATTCTTAACATTTTAACTTTATTCTCAACATCTGAACTTTAGTCTCAACATTTATGGCATTACATTTACGACATTTCGTCTTCATTCTTTACATTTTGTCTATATTCTAAACATTTGAATTTCATTCTCAACATTGGAACTTTTATTATAAACATTTATATTTTATTCTCAACATTTGAACTTTATTCTCAACATTTACAACATTACATTTACAACATTTCGTCTTCATTCTTTATATTTCATCTATATTCTAAACATTTGAATTTCATTCTCAACATTGGAACTTTTATTATAAACATTTATATTTTATTCTGAAAATTTGAACTTTATTCTCAGCATTTAAACTCTCAACATTTTGACTTATTATAAAAATGCAAAAGTAAACACACAAAAAAAACCCCACATTGGTTTCACACCTGGCATTTAAACTGAATGTGAGATTTTATTTGTGAAATTTTGAGTTTATTTGCGAAATTTTAGCGTAATTGTCAAGATTCTGTTCTAATTTTGTTCTCAAAAGAAAATTAAAAAATAAAATCTGTTTCGCACCTTGCCCTTTAACTGGATGTCAGATTTTTTATTGAAACAATTGTCAAAATTATATTCCAACTTTATTCTCAACATTTGTTTTATTCTCAACATTTTAACTTTATTCTCAACATTTGTTTTATTCTCAACATTTTAACTTTATTCTCAACATTTAAACTTTATTCTTGAAATGCAAAGAAAACTTTCCTTATCTGATTTATTTATTGTTTTGCATGCCACCAGCACTGAAAGGTTGATTTCATTCCCAACATTTCGACTTCTTTTCCTCATAATGCAAAATAACAACAATAAAAAAAAGACCTTTTAATTTTTGCCCTTATACTCTTCCATTCTTGACCCACCTGAGACAGCGTGATCTCGCCTCTCTCCGCCCGGCTCATAGCGCTGTCCTTCTGGGACGCCACACTGGACAGGAAACCACTAAGAAATCACAGTGACACAAACAACACAACTAAAGCACTAAAACATGAATCCGTCTTTAACATTTATACTTTTAATAGTCATCATATTATTTCATGTATCTCTGATTTTAGTTTTCAGTCCTTAGATAAATGCATATTACGTTCTCATTGCCATTTTAATTTTGCTTTTGTATCTTGTTGCTGAGGACTGTTTTGTAAAATACTGAGATTTTATGTGGTACTTCAACATCACTATAATTCTTTACCAGGAATTGAACAAGAGGGTGAAGATCGTTGCTGGTCTTTCTCCCTATTTTAAATTTCTGATTTCTGGTAACTTGTCATTTGTAGATATCAGAAGCAGAGTGAGTGTTGGAAATGGTAATGTTGACATTGTCCAAATATGGTCAGTCCCATGTGTGCCCACGTGTGAAAAGGTGTTTCATGTTTATCTGAGGTAAAATAAGTCTTTAACATTAATATGAGTCCATATGGTGACATTAAAGGGAGGTTAAACATACCAGTGATTTCATTCCAAAGTCAACAAATAGCATCGCTTTGCCAGTGATTTAAGTGTCAGACACCTGACGCCAAAAGCCGCCTTTCACGGCGGTATAATATGCTGCCAGGTGGAGTCAGTTTGTAACGCGGCCCAACGTAACTTTCACTGTGTTATGATAAGCTGCCTGTTGGCCGGACAGCACTTACTGCAATGGTATGATACACAGTACAAATACTATCTTAAGACCGAAGTAGAAATACCATTTCGAGAATAGAGTCCAAATGTCGAGACCGAAGTAGAAATACCATTTCGAGAATAGAGTCTAAATGTTGAGACTGAAGTAGAAATACCACTTCGAGAATAGAGTCTAAATGTCGAGACTAAAGTAGAAATACCATTTCAAGAATAGAGTCCAAAGTAGAAATACCATTTCGAGAATAGAGTCTAAATGTCGAGTCCAAAGTAGAAATACCATTGCGAGAACAGAGTCCAAAGTAGAAATACCATTTCGAGAATTGAGTCCAAATGTTGAGATTGAAGTAGAAATACCATTTCGAGAATAAATTCCAAATGTCGAGACTGAAGTTGAAATACTATTTCGAGAATAAAGTCCAAATGTCGAGACTGAAGTAGAAATACCATTTCGAGAATAAAGTCCAAATGTTGAGATTGAAGTAGAAATACCATTTCAAGAATAGAGTCCAAATGTTGAGACCAAAGTAGAAATACCATTTCAAGAATAAAGTTAAATGTCAAGACTAAAGTGTGCCATTGCTTGTAATTTCATTTATTCTCAATAGTCCAACTAGTCTTGAGTCTTTATTATCATCTTTTGGTTTATTCTCAACATTTAAACTATGCTCAAAATTTCATCTTTATTCTCAACATTTAAACTTTATTCTCAACATTTAAACTTTATTCTTAACATTTCATCTTTATCATCTTTATTTTCAACTTTCAACTGAATTCTCAACTATTTGATCTTGTTTTAAACATTTTGTCCTAATTCTCAAAATTATATTTTAACTTAATCCTCAAAATTCTGACCTTATGCTCTTAATGCAACAAAACATTTCCTCCTCTGATACATTGTCGTATGCCTGGCACTAAAATTGCATGACAATAACAGATCCTGAACATTTCTTTCTGTTACCGATGAATCTTTTTCAGTTTTATTCTTCAAGCTGTAACATTTATAAATGTACATTTAATTATTGTGCCAAAATTCAATGTGTGTCTTTTTGTCCAGTTATCCTGTTCAGGTTTGCCATTAACTTTTGGCCGTGTAGTTTGTGCACCTGCTTTCTAAACTTGTTTCCAACTGCACAGTGTGTTCACTCTGCTTCTGTTAAGTGATTTTAACTTCTTTCACTGTCACACTGAAAAAACTAAAAGATTTGTTCTATTTTTGTTAAGATTATTAAAACTAACGCCTCAGTTGCGTAATTTAAATTCCTCTCCTGCTTTTATTTTTTACAGTGTACAGATGTTACACAACAGTAGTCTCCTTACCCCGGCAGGTTGTGCAACTGCTCAAACTTGTGGAAAACTGCATGAAGTCTGGAAGAGACAGCAACTCCCCAGAAGTTGAACAGGACGGCTTTCCTCTCGGCCATCTCGTCTGAGCCCCAGTGACAGGATCTTAAATGTCTTTGCCTCTGTCCCAACAGGAGAGTTTTCTGTGCTGCTGGTGCAGGACACTCCTGCTCTATGCACACAGGGAAACTTTGCACTCTGAGCACACCCAACCAACAGGTCCGCCCACTTCTCCTGCTGATTCAGAATAGGGACAAAGAGGAACCTCCACTGTGTGGGTGTGCAAAGATTTCTAAGTTTCACTTCTCAACATGATTCAAGGGAACACTTGTATCACACATCGCATCTTGATGAACGAATTATTGAAGTTGAAAATCCTTACTGGTGTAAAACCATTCCCTTTTTGTCTCTCCATTGCTCCTGTTGTCACCTTGATTTGCACCAAAGCAAAATATTTTTTGCTACGGGCCATTTGTTCTGTGCACATGATGAAAAATCTTATATAATGTTCAGAATCTATTTTTCAGTTCACTATTGTTTCAGATTGTCCTGCTATGAGGCTGAACATCTCTCAGTTGGTTGTTTCTTATCAACAGTGCCATCTTATGGATGTCAGAAGACACTACCAGCATTAAGACTTCCTCTTAGAAAATGCAGCGCAAGTGAAAGTAAGTCAGACTAGGAAGTGTGTGGACTTTGTGCACAATGCTGTACGGTTGGATTTATAAAAGTAATGTGGTTGGCCACATTAAGCCATCAGGTTCTCCGGGTGACGCAGTCCCACCTCACTTTTTCAAGAAGGTTTTCCCTACTATAGGACAGTCGGTTCTGGCCGTTATTAACAGCAGCCTGTCTTCTGGTGTTTTAAACATGCAGTAGTGCAACCCCTGCTAAAGAAACCTGGCCTGGATCACACTGTGCTGGCCAATTTCAGGCCAATCTCCAAGCTGCCTTTTATTTAAAAAATCCTGGCGAAAGCTGTTGATTTTCGTTCATGTTCAGTTAAAGTTCTTTATGGACGAGCATGATATCCTGATATCTTTCAGTCTGGCTTTAAAACACTGCATAGCACAGAGTCAGCTTTATTAAGAGTTTTTAATGACACCCTCCTGGCAAATGACTCTGGTGACTATGTGATTCTTGTTCTGCTGGACCTAACCACAGCCTTTGATACTGTGGACCACAATATTTTAGTGGCTGGGTTACGGCACCTAGTGGGCATTTGTGGTGGTGCTCTGGAGTGGTTTAGGTCTTATCTGGCAGACAGAACTATGTGTGTAAGCATTGGTGGCTCTGAGTCCTGCTCTGCTCCTGTGTCGTATGGGGTTCCACAGGGTTCAATTTTAGGGCCCCTGCTTTTCTTTTTCTGCCTCTGGGCTCCATCCCCAGAAAGCATGGTATTTCTTTCCATTGTTATGCTGACGATAGTCAGATGTATGTGCCGCTGAAGAAGAAAGATGCTTTCTCGCTTAAACCACTTCTGTTATGTCTCGAAGACGTTAAAGCCTGCATGGCCCTGAACTTTTGCCCCTTGGCATATTATGTGAAACCAACAGTTTCAAACTTGGGTTTTAAGATGGACAGTGATTTTAAATTGGATCGGCAAATTGGTGCAGTAGGTAAGTCCAGCTTTTTTCACCTTAGGCAGCTGGCAAAGGTTAAACACTTTCTAGCACAACAGCACTTTGAAACCCTAATCCATGCTTTCATCACGTCTCAGCTGGATTACGGAAACGCACTTTATTTTGGAGTCAGCCAGTCCTCCCTCGCACGTCTCCAGTTTGTTCAAAATGCTGCTGCTCGTCTCTTAATTGGAGCACGTAAGAGGGAACACATAACTCCCATTTTGGCCTCCCTCCACTGGCTGCCTGTGCACTTTCGAGTTCATTTTAAGATTCTTTTATTTGTTTTTAAATCTTTAAATGGTCTCTCCCCGCCTTACCTCTCTGAGCTTCTCCAGCCCTACGCTCCTGCTCAGCGTGTCAGGTCAGCTGATCAGTTGCTCCTGGAGGTACCGAGGTCCAAGCGGAAGCTCAGAGGGGATAGAGCTTTTTCTGTTGCTGCTCCCAAACTTTGGAAGGGCCTACCTTTGCACATCAGACAAGCCCCCTCATTGTCCATTTTTAAAACTCATCTTAAAACCCTTTTTTATTCCTTGGCTTTCAACTCAGCATGAGACTGTGCTCTTGTTTTAGTGTTTTTATTGTTTTGCTTTATTTTATTTTATTGTTTTTATCGTTTTAGTGTTTTTATTCTTTATAATTGTTTGTTTTATGTCTTAAGTTTTTATGTTTATGTACAGCACTTTGTTTCAGCTGTTGTTGTTTTTTAAAGTGCTCTATAAATAAAGTTGAGTTGAGTACACAGCATTTGTTTAAACTAGCATTAAGCCAACTAGCTGGAAATGATCAACCCTGTTATCTTTACAGAGTAACAGGACTTGACATGTGAGTAACCGGGATGACACAGATTGGTGTTCACACTCGTTTTACTATCTTTAAAAGTTAGCCTTATAAAATTTTAAAGGTCATCATGTGAGTATTATTCAGCTAATATCAATACTATGAAGAAACTGGTTACTTCTTTTACTGTGAAAATGTGGCCTTTCATATGTTTGTATGGTCTAAGTTATGATTAAAGGGCCATTGTGTAATATTTGGCATGGTTTATTGTCAATCTGAATCTGAATCTGAATATTCTACCCATTAATGTGTTTATACAAGTGTATGATCGCTATAAAATAAAATTCCTTTGGTTTTCGTAGCCTTTTAATTATGCTTTTATATATATATATATATCAAGGGCCTTGCTTTAGAGAGGTCGCCATCTTGCGCCGCCATGTATGTACGGCAGACAGAGTGGACAATCCAGCCAGCCAGAGAACGCGTTTCGCGTGTATAAATGAACCAATGAAGACAGCGGAAGGAAGGAAGAAGGAGGAGGAAACAGCAGAGAGTGTTAGTAATTCGTCGATAGAGAGTAGTGAAAAGTTTTTTTAGTTATAAAGTTTGCGAATGGACCACACTTACCACGCAACAGGAGAGAATGAACCCGAACCGTCATCTGCGAGGAAAAGAAGACGCAGCTTCACTCCTTGTGATGCACTCTCTGCAGCGCTTTTCCTCCTGATGATATATCTCCCCAACGATGGTAGCAGTAGCACCGAATCCCATTCTGTGCATTCAGCCTCTCTTCTCACCCGCTCAGCATCAAACACATGGAGTTCCTCATCTGTGTGCTCCGGCTCAAACAGGTATTGCTCTGGGTCTGTGTCCGCTACAAGAAACTCTTCAAAATCGCTTTCAAAGTCGTCCATTGCAGCTACTATAGTCCGGAGATATTGCTAGGCTAAATAAACAGCTGAGCTCTGTTTACAGGCTACGCTGTCAGTCAGTGTGCGGGCTGGAGATTGGTTGAGCAGAGAGGGGAGGGGGGTCCCCACTCAGTATGGTAAACGAGTATGTGTGTAAAGTTATGAAGTGTGTCTGTTACGCCAGAAGAGTCAGAGTTTGGGACGGAGTCTTTTACCCCCTGGAGTGTTACCGGAGTTTCTGGAGTGCTCAAATAAACTGGCCTTTTTCCCGAACGCTCCTCTGGTCTCCTGCTCGTGAGGGATTCATTACAATATGTAATATGGCTTAGATTTCTAAATAAACATTCACCTCGTCGCTAGATAGACCTACTCCTGAAAAACTCGTGCGCAAGGCTTTTTGTCCCTACGAGGCCACTGTCATTTACCCGATGGGAGGGGTGAGCGAGTGAGCCCTGCAATCTAGAATTTGACCACTGATGTCACTGTTTCCAACGGTTTTCAACCCATTTTACACACTGGCCCTTTAAATGTTCTGTATATCTGTTCAGACAAAGTGAGTACAAACACAGAAGTTCTGCTCCCAACTATGCCCAACGTTGCAAATTTACAACATTTCCCTAAAAACTTACTAAAATGTAAAAAAATTTGAAAACTCTTTGATTTCTACATCAGAGGCCTCCTGAAACTATCTGAGAGGTCAAAAAAAAATTTGCTCATTTTTTTCTATATCTGGGTCTTACAGGGTTAAAATTGTTTTCATCATTCTCTGTGCAGTCACTCGTTCGGAGACCACAAACGCATTTCCCAGTTGGCAATCACTCATAAGGACCCATTCTCCACCCAACATATTGCTGGAGGGCCCACTCTCTCTATGGGGCCCCTGTCTCACTGGCCTGCCTGCGCCCCTCCAAAATGAGAGCGTTGGAAAACAGATTTCTTTTAACATGAAACTGCTTTAATCAGTGTTTTTAGCATTTTTTAATCACATTGCATATGCACAAAATGAAGCCTGAAAGAGGCGTACGCTAATTCCCATGGAAAAGTGAAAACAGACACATGCTTAGGAACATTTTGGAGACGAGAAATTGGCAACGCAGGTAGTGAGGTTCAAGCCTGATAGTAGGAATTGTCCAGTGTTTTTTGGCGCAACAATTTTGTCTGTAGAAAGAGAGGAAGAGACCTCTGTGGATAATTCTGGTCCTGATAAAAATCTCCCGAACAGTGATCATTGAAGAAAATCCAACCAGAAGTTTTAGCTGGTTGCAATCTGCAAACCTCACCACTAGATGGCACCAAACCCCCTAAATCTGACACACTGTTCTTTGACGTAAAGTGCAAGCACCTCAAAATGCTACTGAAGTACAGTGCTTGTAAGTGTACTCTGTTACTTTCCATCACTGGCGAGTCAGTTATTCAGGAAAAGATGGACTCCTGCCAGATTCACAGGTGCATCTCAAAAAATCTGAAGTGACAGTGAAATATTTCAAGCCTTTTTTTATTTTATTTTTGATGATTACGGTTTACAGCTCACGAAAATAAAAAATACAGTACCTCAAAATATTAGAATATGACATAAGACCAATTAAAAATGATTTATAATACAAAAAATATCAGCCTTCTCAAAAGTATGTTCATTTACGCACTCAATACTTGGTCGGGGCTCCTGTTGCACAAATTACTGCATCAATGCGGCGTGACACGGATGCCATCGGCCTGCGGCAGCTGTCAGCTTGTCTGTATTGTTGGGTCTGGTGTCTCTCATCTTCCTCTTGACAATACGCCATAGATTCTCTGTGGGGTTCAGGTCAGGAGAGTTGGCCGGCCAATCAAGCACAGTAACGCCAAGGTCAGCAAACCAGTTACTCACCACTAACATCC